AGGGGAGGGGGAGGGAGGTAAACATTTGTTAAAAAAAAAAAATTCAAAAATTTTCAATAAAAAAAAAATGCCAGTTGCTTTACACATGGAAAAAGGGTCTCTAAATAAAAAATCTTGCAGATACCTATGTCTTTTTTTCGTAGGGAGGGATGACAAGTAGTATGGCTGGGATGCATGCTTTAGGAACCCTCTCTAAGAGTGTAGGTAAGGGGTTTCCATGTTAGATGGAAGACCTTGACAGTCTTCCTTCTTTTCACAGGAGACGGAGTCTACCAAAAAGGCATGGACTATATACTAGAGAAGCTCAACTGTGGTGACTGGGTGCACATGTTTCCAGAAGGTAGCAGTAGCTGAAAACTGTTCTGGGAGGTTGCTGGGGGTTAGAAGGCATGGATGCATTTCATAGCACCTTGCTATCATACCTGAACTGTCAGATTCCCTAGGGCAGTGGTCTCCAACCTTGGCCACTTTAAGACCTGTGGACTTCAACTCCCAGAGTTCCTCAGCCAGCTTTGCTGGCTGAGGAACTCTTGGGAGTTGAAGTCCACAAGTCTTAAAGTAGCCAAGGTTGGAGACCACTGCCCAAGGGCACTTGCAGTGCACCCAATTGCTCCACATTTCCTCCCAACTTTCTTTTGCAGGTAAAGTAAACATGACCCAGGAGTTCATGCGCTTCAAATGGGGTAGGTATTTTCCTAAGAAGTGAAGTGCATTCTGGGGTAACTCGGTCGCCTTTAATTCTGCTTCTTTTTCTGTCTTCCAGGTATTGGCCGTCTTCTGGCTGAATGCCGTCTGCACCCCATTATACTGCCACTCTGGCATGTAGGTGAGGCTTCAATCAAAAGTGTAGGGTGAGGTTGGAGAGAAGGGGAAGTAAAATTTGCACGGTGGCTACAAATTGCAGTTGCCGGAATAAATGTGAGATAGGTGTCCCCAGCCTAATTAATCCTCTAACACCTATATAGGAAGAATAATATGAGAAGAGGTGGCTTTTCTTATTCCGGGCCATAATAATCTTGAAAGCGAAGCAGATGTGCTCAAGGAAGCTGGCAGGAACTCACAGATCAGTTAACCATCCAATGAAGTAATTTGTGATAGCTTAGAGGATAGAGTTTGAAGGTGCCACGAGATCTTTTCTGCAATAGAGTAACATGGCCACAAGGACCTTTTCCTGGTTCACTGACAAATGCGCGCACAACGAAAGCACGCCGAGAAAAGCGCACTGAGAAAACCGTGACGTCGAAATTGCGCCCACAACAGCGCGCCGACAAAAGCGCGCCTTCAACAAACAACGCGAAAACAACATAATACCCCTAACCCTAACCCTGAACCTAACCCTAACCCTTACCTTAACACTAATCGCGGTTTTGTCGGCGCAGTTTTGTTGGCGCGCTGTTGTGGGCATAATTTCAACATCGCGGTTTTGTCGGCGCA